TGTGAATTTGGGTGCCTGTAGTTTCGTACCTATGGGTCATATGGGAAAAGAAATATTTTAATGATTTTTATTTTAATTCAAATATTAATTCTTAATTTTTTAGACTTCAAAAATATACACGAATTTCCAAAATTTGATCATGAAACAAAATTGGGTCGTGTTATAAAAGTAATAATTGATTATAAATTTTGAATTTAACTTTATAATAAATAAACAAAAATTATACAAAATTATAAAATTTATCTTAAAATAAATTACTATTAAATTAAAAATACTCACATATTTTGGCAGTGCAGTAAAAGTACTCACGAATTCGAAAATGTACTTATTTGTATGTACGTCATACATACTATAACTAAATTTATTCTTAAAATTAACAAAATTTACTTATGCGGTTCTGAATAAATCAGCAAAAATCATACACTTTATAAACATTTAAACAAACCTTTTAATAAAGTCTTCTTCTCATGCTGAAGAAGACTCATTTGGTAGTGAATTTAAGAGATATGAGCGGAATAAATTTTTTTTATTTTTGAAGCGACTTATATTTTGAAAAATTTTCCCCTATGTACTTCCAAATTAAAATATTTTTACTTACACTTAACATTTACTCAAAAGGAGTCATGTGTAAATGCTAATTATGATTTCAAATATTTATATCCTTTAATAAATATTTGCAGGCTTGTATTCAGGAAGATCCGAACGATCGTCCAACAATTGATGATATTCTCAAATTTCTGAATGGGGATATTACTCATTTTGATTACGAGCTTCGTGAGATTGAGAAAGAAACTGGAAAACAGACGAAAGGAGAAGAAAAAAGCAGTAAAGGTAAACGTCATGAAATTCGCGGCAAAGGTAAACATAGTGGGAAAAGGGAGAAGCATCTAAAACTTGGTTAATCTTTCGAATTGCTTTTGGATAACTCTGGTGATTAACATTTCTGATTCAGTCTATTTTTTATAATTTAGTAAAACTTTTAACTATTATTATCAAAGTATTAAGGCTGGTAGATAGTAATTTAATTATTTTTTCGAAATAGGAAAGCAGTGAAACATACAAAAATATTTTTTAGTTTGGATTGAAACATTTAGGGAGGTTTTCTATTCTATATTTTGATATTTCTTCCATGTTTCTATAGTTTGCTCGTATTTAATATTTTTAGTTATTTCGACAATGATCCTTATTTTTGACATTATATTCCAAACATAATCCCAAATAAATTTAATATTTCTCTAGCCTTAATGAAATTTAAGAATTAAAGTTTTACATTTTTTGGTATAATGGTCACCTTTTATTTAAAAGTTTATCATTTATGATTAGTTTTATTTATTTTAACAGTAAATATTTTTGGAAGTAGTTTTAAAATTCAATTTATAAATTTTTCAAAAAAATTCTCTTCTATATTATGTAAAATTTTGTGCTTCAACGGATATACATACATGCTTTCGATTTTAAACAGATAAAGATATGGTTATTTCCTTTGATCACGTTGAAGCACTTCAATTCCCCAATTTAGTTTATAGTCAAATCGAAAAAGAAAATGTTTGTTGCACTTTTCGTAAATACTCTAATATTTAAAGGTTGACTAGGGTTTTTGCAATTAAAAATTATCATTCTTTCTTTGAGAAAATCTTTCTTTCGTAGAGAAAAATTTTCAGAAAATAAAATTTTTTAAGAAAAAACCACAAAATATAAAAATGAACTCATAAAAGTTCAAAAATATCGAAATTTTAATTACTGGATATCTATTTATTGGAGTATTTACGATAAAATGGTTTTGAGTGTTTTGGTTTTAAGAAATTTTGTGGTATTGGGTGTTTACAAATCGAAGATTTTATGTAAAGTTTGCATCCGATTTATATAAACACATTTGTTTTTAACTAATTTAAATTAAATACCTAAAACCTCAAAACCATTAACAGTATGTACATTTATTTGGTTTTTATCTTTTTTTGTCTTTTTCTTATTGGTGCTTATCTCTATATTTGACATATTCAAAAATATTTTCATTGTTTCTTTCTCTTGTATGCTTCATATATCTTTTAAAATTATTCATCAAGATTAACTAGAAATATTTTATAACATGTTTTTTAATATTATATTTCCTTATATTTCTGTTTAATTTAAAATTATTTTCAAGTATAAAGTGCAATATGCAAAACTCGTTTTTAATTTAAAAAGGCCATTTATTTTAGTTTCCCTAAGATAAAATGGTTGTTTTACATACATGCTTTAAATTGCGTTTAAATTTCGATTAAAAAATATTTTAAAAAATTTAAAAATAATTTCGTGTTCTAAAATTACAAAAAGCTTTAACAAACTTAAATATTATGCAAGAATAAGGCAGGATTTAAATTCCCAATTCCCAACCGGAATTTTAGAATGATATTTAAAAAAGCATTAAATACATAATTAAGGCCTACTCGAAAATTTGAATTTTGATTTTTGGGTTTTAAGTTTTTCGCTCTGAAATTTACTGAAAATTTAATTTAAAAATTTTTAAAGAGATTTTAAATCAATTTTTAAAATTTTAAATGAAGTCTCAATCGACGTCAGCCGATTTATTTAACAAAATGTGGAATAGGTATAAGTAGATTAAGTCACGCGTGAATTTTTTTTTAAGTTTATTCTGCTGTAGCAAAATAGAAAATGTTTAGTGCAATTTGAATATCAAAAGAAACATTTAACTAAAACAATTTTGGAGTAAAAAATATAATTTTACATATAAAAAATGCTGATCTTCGTGCCTCAATGAGGCTTTGGCATCTAGTGCGCATAGGCGCTGGTTTTTTAAAAAGAACAAATGTTCTTCAAAAGAGATTTTGTATCTTTACGGACAGTTTTGTTTAATATCAGGTATATAACTGGAGGAAAGCCTGTAAGTAATAAATATATTATTAAAAAAAAATAAATGTTGGCATCCATGTAATGTATTAGAAAAGGGACGAGCTGAGGAAAGCCGGGGCTATTTTTTAACCTTCACAATGTTACAGTGTGTATAACAATTTTTGTACCTACCATGTATATGTAACCTTAAAAATATAAATTAATGTTGTAATATTACATATAATAAATTTACCAAGCAAAATGTCCAATCATTGAAAGGAGTATTGCCTGATCGGCCTGATGAAAGTTGTAAGCATAGATTATACCAGCTAATGTATTTAACATTGAAATAATAAATACTTGAATAAAAACCTTAAAAGGTTCATTTCTATTAAAAATGTTTCGCTTAATGAATGAGGATAGTGACAGCTTGCTTGCTTGCTTTTCAGTATTTCACAATATCGTGATAAACTATCAAGGAACAACATGGACTTGTCATCCTAATTCCCAAAATCTTAATCTTTCAAGTTTCATTTGGTTTACTACAATTAAGGGAAGGATAATGAAATTTGATAATATTTAAGTGGAAAATATAATTGTATTATAAATTTTCTTTGATATTAACTCAACAATTAATTTTACCATGATCTCATCTTTTGTAACTCTCGTTGTCATTTCTTTAATTTTGAAATACAAACAAAAACCAAATAAAGTGTATGTTAATGGTGAACCTATAGCTAATATTGTATCATGTATTGAAATTTCAAGTATATCCCATGTGATCTAAAATAATGTAAAGAAACTAATTAATATTTACACAAAAACTGTTATACTAAGGATAAATATGTCTCGGAGTTTTATCAGATAACTTAAACGGAAGAGTTTTGCACGATTTTTTCTTTTCTAGTTGCTAACTTCGAAAGCCAGCAAACTAGCTTAGAAAAGCTGATTTTTGGAATGAAAAATTCTATTTTATAAATTTTCAACTCAGCTCAATGAACTGAGTCGTATTTGACAATCTGAGCCGCCCTACAACTGAGCCGCCCCAAGATCATCCCTATGATTATCAGGAGTCTGTAACTCGGTTCCAGTTTTAGATAAAAGATAAGAAACTAAAGATAAGAAACTAATTCATATTTACATTAAAACTGCAATACTAAGGATAAATATATCCCGGAGTTTTATCAGATACCTTAAACGGAAGAGTACACCGAAATATCCTTAGAAGTTTTTCTCTTTTCAAGTTGCTAATTTCGAAACCCAGCGAACGAGCTTAGAAAAGCTGATTTTTGGGATGAAAAATTCTATTTTATAAATTTTCAACTCAGCTCAATGAACTGAGTCGTATTTGACAAGTTGAGCCGCCCTACAACTGAGCCGCCCCAAAATCATCCCTATGATTATCAGGAGTCTGTAACTCGGTTCCGGTTTCAAAAATGGTGAACTAATCAACCATAATACGCCTCCACAAAATGAATTTATTATAACATTCAAACTAACTAATTCAGATCTAAAAGGTATATATCCAATTAATGGTTCGAATGATACTCCAAATAATATTCCATTAAAAATAACAGAATGACGAAATAAAAGCCAATAAAGTCCATATAAATTACAAAATGTTATCCAAATATAAACACGATTATTATGAAAAAGTTTTCTTGCAATTTTTGGAAATGCCATTTCGATACATCGATTTATTCCCAAAATCTTAAAATCTACTGGTATTAATTAATTTTTAATTAACAGACCAAGTCTGCAAAACATTCGCACGGCCAAAACTGAAAAATCGTTTAATGTAATTTAATAATGATTTTTGTTAATTAAATAATGACTTCGCCTTGGCTGGTTGCAAGCCAAGGTAAGTGACGGCCATTAATATAGTTCTAAACTTATTACCGCAGCGAAGTATTTTTGGAACTTTTTTGCTTTTTGGTGTTTATTTTAACACATCATATTTCATTATTCTTACACACTAAGGTTGGCGGATAGTCGGAATCTTCGGCTATCCGGTTTTTTTTTCGGATCCGAATATCCGGATCCGCCAGCCTTAATACACATTAATATTAAAGCTCTATAATCTTTATTTAATTGATTTACCATTTTTAATACACAATGAACTAAAAATAACACAGTGAAATAAAAATAGACCCAAATAACATTTAACTTATTTAAATAAAATAAAACTTAAATAAAATAACACATCCAAAAAAATATTCTGTGAAAGGTGAAGAGCAATAAACTACACCATTTAAACTTAAAATCCCAAAAACAAAAGTTGGAATCCAAAGAAAGGAAATATCCAAAATTGAAAGATAAATTAAAAGTATATAACACGGATTTTTGGCTCTATTCTTCCAAAAAGAGTAAAGACAAGGGAAATATAAAGGCTTAAATTATTAAAAATTTATTTAAAAATTAATCTTAAAAATTACATAATATATACAGCCAAGTATTATACAGATAATTGCAGCTATTGGATAACTTCTTTGTTGAAATGGAATATCATCAACATTAATTCCTGTACAATTATATATTATGTCAAATTCCTTACGATTCCATAAAATATACTCCATTTTAAAATTAATAATGTATATTTCTAAATTTAATTTAAAACAATAAAAAAGAATAGCCATAATTGGCTACATGAAATTTGGGTAGTGGACAATTGAGGAGTGGACATCTAGGGAGTATGCGGACAACGGGAGTGGACACATCTATAAACTCAGTAAATAGATCTAAAAATTCTAAAAAAATTCTAAAAATTTACAAGAAAAGTAATAATCATGTAATATTCTGGGTAATTTTATTTCATGTAAATAAATTAAAATAATATTATAGTAAAAAATGTATCGAAGAAAACAAAAATTAATTAAAAGTATGTAAAAAAAATTTAAGCTTAAAGTGCGTATTTTTTAGAGGCATATGTGTAACATAAAGGACAATATTTGTTACGCGTTAAAAAGATATTTTTTTAACTTTTGTAGTAAATGTGAGTAAATAAACTAAGTTGTGCATAATATGTACAGGCTTTATTATGTAGACAAATTTTTTTAAGTAGACACACGCTCAGATATGGCTCCGAAACAGAGACCAAAGATTTTCGGAGCTTGCAGAAAAAAAATTTTTTTCTCCCTTTTAGAATCTTTTCTTGCCTTTTAGCGCCACAGCTGAAATTTTGTAATTTTCAAAGGCCAAGAAGCCAGATTTCTTTATTTTTGAAAAACAGTGAATAATTCTAACTTATGAAAAATAAATTGTGTTTGATAGCCCCCTCCCCCAATTTAATGACAATTTTTTAGTGTATTGAAAAATAGAATGGCCAAAATTCAAATAAAATAAATAGGTACATACATATTAAACAATAATTTTAATTAAACAAAAATATAAAAAAATTATAAGAAACTTAAAACAAATAACGTGAAAAAACTTATTGGAAATTGTTATTGAATTTAAGTTAAAATTTTATAATGGACTACAAATTTAGCTGTGAGAAACTTAAAAGAATTTTAGTCACGCGTATGTACTTATTTTATAGCTTTTTAATAAATTTTGTTTCGTTCTCACCTAAAACCGACTGGAGTGACGCACGAGAATCGAAACTTAAAGCTGAAAAAATCTAGATTCTTGAAAAATTTTGTACTTGTGTAATACCCCATCCGCGAATTTTGGCCTTTCCTTCTCCACTGATATCATAATTTGGATTCGAACACAGATTGTATAGAAACAATATTTGTTTATTTTTTTATTTTAGCAAAATTTTAAATCTGTTCAAAACTAATTTGACTAAATATAATATGATTCAATATTTTTCTCAAAAATTTCAATTTATAAAACAAATTAATTAGTTGAAGCAAAAAACTAATTTATCCAAAATACTATCAATATAAAATGTTTAAAAATAAAATTGAAAAATTACAGGTAAATAATAAAAAAAGGGTTTTTTAAATAAAGATAGAATTTATATAAATTTTGAAAATAATATGTTACATATCGAATATGCTCAAACAATTATTGTGGGTAATTATTGTTTTAAATAATAAAAGCGGGGAAATTAGGTGAAAGAGGTAATTATTTGAGCATAGTATACGGTGGTGTAAATAATTGTTATCTATAAATGTTAAAATAAAAAGACAATAATTGAAGAGGTTTACGGATATTTTTTGAAATATTTTTTGGTACTATCGCATTATCTCACACATCGTCGGCAAATATTTGTCCGCAAAATTTTGCTTGCTTTTCCCTTCATTCCTTCTCTTCTCATAATGATTAAAAAATGTTCAAGAATGAATTTATTTTGAATAAGGCAGTCTGCATAACAAAGTAGTTATTTTTTAATTTCTTTATTCAATTTAGCTTCAGATATATTTTCAGATTAAAAATAGGTAAAAATTATTAATTTATCTGAAAGTAAATTTACTGATCATTAATCTGAAACTAAATTTAATAGAGAAATTTAGAAATGACTTTTTATGCAGACTGATTTATTCAAATTAGATTAGTACTTGGATAATTTATAATCATTATGAGGGAATAAGAAATGAAGGAAAATGAAATACACTTTTTTTATATTATCGTAAGTATGTTAAGAGTTTAGGATTATTAGTGATTTTAAAAATAATTATTTGTAATTGCACCTAAAATAATACCTGAGGATACCTTTTAGACATTTGGACGCATAAAGGAAAAAACAATATCTTTTAAAATTAATTTTTAAAATAAAATAGCACGTTGATTATATTGTTCATTGAACATTCTGTAAATCATCACGCCGAACTTCTTAATGTCCTCCCTTTGAATTTCATCAACAAAAGCTATGTCATTATGCTGAAATAAATGTAATTATGATTAAAATTTTTCAACTACCCCATAAAGATAAGATTCATTAAAATCAATCAATTTAACGTCAATAACATCTGCATTTTGTTTATGATCAAGAGAAACAACAAAATTTTCGTGTTTAATATCATAATGACCTCCATCTAAATAATGTTATTTGTTAAATAGTGTAACAAAGTTATAATCACATTGATGGAATTGTGCAAGTGCTCGGGCTGCTCCCTTTATTATTTTAGTAAGAAATTTCTCATTGGATCTTGGATGTCTTCTGCCATATTGTGGATCTCTTTCATAATAATTTCTCAAATCATTTCCTCCAAGTTCTAAAGCAAAAGAAACTTTCCTTCTTTTTGCCCACTAAATTTTTTTCAAAAAACTATATGTATAGAAAAAAAGTGAAAAACAACACACAACTTTTTACCAATGCAAAAATATCTTTTTAGAGAATATATATGTGTGATCAGGGACTTATGGTGCCAGAGGTCATAGGTTTAGCTCCTGAGGTAAATTTTGGATGTCCGAAGACTGGGACAATATCTATAAAAAGATTTCGGAAAATTTTAACATATTGTGACTTTTTGCGGTGACGGATGCATATGAGGTAACATTCAATTCAGCTCGTTGTGAGTGGTGGATGGTGTTGGTACGACAACCGTGGACCCTGATACAGGGCTAAAATTGCCAAAAAGTGTAGAAGGAAACCGAATTCACTGTTTTAAAAAATTGAAGATAAAAATGCGGGCAGATAATGCGATAGTAACTTAATAGGCGATAAATCTTTTCAACATAAGATATTAAAATACTATACAGGTATTTGAACTTTTCTCAACATAATTATTCCAGAAAAATAGGATGCAACCTAGACATTCAATCTTTAGTTATGATCTTCAATTAAGTTTAAATGCTGGTTAAGAAATATAATAACAAAAATTAATTAATACTCACACTCCAAGCATTTCAATAATATGGTTCCTTTCAGAATCATCGAACTTGTTAAAAAATTCCAGTACTCTAATTTCTTGTTGAGGATTAAATTGTTTATGATATATTTTTACTGCCACACAATTATTATTCTCACCAAACCAATGTGCGTGGTAAACCTTAAAAAATATTGAAAAGAGAATTTAAATATTGAATAAACTTTATTTATCAGGCATTAATTATTAAGAACTAAAAATTGGAAAAGAAAAAACTTTTTAACTAAAAAATGGGATTATGAATTTTTGCAAGCCCTCACAGGTTTCTAATAAATAATTGACTTTTTGAGATTGTATTTTTAGTATTTAAAACTTGCATTGGCATAATTACCAGATCCAATTCTGCCTATAAGTGCGGTAGTATATTTCAGCTCCATTACATTTTCATCACTCCCTTTTACTTCCACATATTCGTCCAATTGTTCCAAGAAAAATTTTCCGCATTTACACTTTACTTCATTGTTATGAGAAGTTGACGCACCTTAAACTTATAATTATGTAAAAATTTTCGGGAGATATATTAATGGATTGAAATACTCTTTTAAGAATTACATATACATATGTAATTTAGAATCTCATTGCTAACAGAAATATATGTCTATTAAGGGATTAAAAACAATTTAAGTGAAATTACCCTTTCCTTTGTCCAAACGTTTGTTAGGATCAACACCTTCTATTGATGAAAACTCATAAAACGACCATATCACTGTTGAAAAGATAAGAACTATGTTTAGTTTCATAGTTTCATTTATCTTAAAAATTTATTTTTGAGGATATTTTGTCATTTTACTTTAACTTTGTTTAAATTTTTGAAGTCGTAAGTGGATATTCAAGTAATTGACAATTAAACAGAACTCTTATTTTATTACTTTCTACATTGGACTTAGACAAATCATCGACATATGCCGACATTTTAAAATTTATGTTTTGAGATAATTAAGTGAAAAAATTAAAGTCTATTGTATTAATGTTAATTAAAGTAATTTATAAAAAGTTTAAAACTTTCTATTTTAAATAACATATCGAAAATAAAAAGTTTTAAAAAAATCTTCAAAAAATTGACTGGGGGTCCTATAGGAATTTTGAATAAAAATAATAAATTCTAAAATAAATTTTCTAGGGATTTTAAATAAATCAATCGCTATTAATTTATTAAATTATTAAAGTGAAGAGGCAATAACGGAGAAGCTATCGTAAATGTAAAAATTTAAAGCGATTTATTGATTGATTTTATTTTGACAGGCTTTAAAAGTTATACAATTTTCAATGGAAAGTTGGAATTTCTAATGCTAGATAATTTAATTTAGTAATGCGACACTCCAATTTATTTAACAAGTATAATATGAAAATTTCTCGTAAAATTCAAAATTTGAGTTTATTTTATAACAAAATAATAAGTAATTTAAATTAAATTTTAAAATGACAAAAATTAAAGGAGTTGAATAATATGTATTTAAATAGCTGTGTTCCTTTCACGGCAATAGCACTATGGTAATCTAACATTACTTGGAAGGCAATAAGAGCCTTAGAGCTGTTTCGAAATTTCGATCCCGCCCTAATTAATCGCTTAACATTGATTAGTCTAACTTAAAAATAAATCATTATAGGGAAGGCAATGGGGGCTTGAGGGCTGTTTCGAAATTACGATCCCGCTCTACTTTACATCCAATTTATCGCTTAACATTGATTAGTCTTACTTTAAACATTTAGCTTTTAAAATAAACAAATTATTTACTAAGTTTAAATGTTAATAAATGAAA